CTACCTTATATACTAACACCTTTTTTTAAAGTTATATATATATATATTTAACCAGTCACCGACTTGCCAAAAGCGACTTGCCCAAAGCGTTGAGTTTTCTCAGGTGAAATTGGAGGACTTGGCTCCTCTGTGCACTCCAAGCCGGTGTCCATCAACCTGCGTCGGGCCAACGGCTCGGCCTTCGTGATGAAGTCACTGCGAGAGCCCATGGTGGTGGTCATGAAGCTCACTGGACAAGAGGTGATTGGCTTTGGCAGACGATTTTTTCATGAACAGACAAAAAAACAACAGAAAAGGGAATTGGGCGGAGTTCCTGAACGGAGCTGCTTAAAGTCTTAGCCCTAGGACCGTAGAACTATGGATCTTACGGGTTGTTACGAAGATATCAAGCATCCACAGTATCGGCCACGCGGGTCTGGAGTTCGTTCTTGTTCGACAGGGAAATGCCACCTGTGCCTACTGGGATGAAGATGAGCATCGCTGGTCCAGAGAGGGAATCACAGCGTTGGGTACGGCCAATTCGGAGCTGCGCTGCGAAACAACACATCTGACGATTTTTGGCGCAGTGCCTAGGTTCTAAAACATGGATGTCAAATGGGGCTTGAGCCAAAGGTGCTTTCCACTGGCTGTTGGTGTAGCCTGCATTGAAACTTTGACCCCAAATGTTGTAATAGAAATCAAGCAACAGTCTGCTGGCCTTCTGCTGATTCGGGTTCCTCCGAAGAAGGCCTTACAACATCGCAAAACTAACTTGTCATGGTGTTGTATCAAGTGCAATGAGTGTGCCAGCAATTAAAGAGAGGTGCAACAATTTGCCAACATGTGCACTAAGGTGGTGCTGGCCAGCCAGCTGCAGCAGGACTTCTAAAGCAAAGACAGGAAGTTTGCTTGTGAAGTTTACTAGACTAGCATCCGGAGTCATTTTGAAGATGGGTAAAATCGAAGAGTTCTGTGGCTTTGCGTTTGTCGTGTGATGTCCGGACAAGCTTCATACATTACCGCACACAGCACCATGGCACTTCCTTGTTTCCACAATGCTCAGATTGAATCTTGATTCTGCAAAGCCTAGTGTCTCTGCACTGCGTTGAATCCCTGGAGGAAGCTGCCTCGGACTGCAACCTTGGTCTTTGGTCAATTGATGGTGTGTTGGCTTTGCTGAAAATGGAGACTGCCTTTCAAGTGCTTGGAGCTTCGGCAGGTTTGGGCGAACGCAGTCGGGGAGAGCGGACGCGGCATCGGCCCGGAAACAGCGTGATGCCGTCGCTGGAACCTTTTCGACTGAAACAGTTCGTGAGAAGAAACAAAACCTTACTGACTCCACTGGGTCGATTGAAGGTACGATTGTTGAAATCTCCGATTGAGAAGTCTACATCAAGACGCAGCTGAATGTGGACCACTGTTGGAAGAGGGGGTGGCCTTCATGGGATATGAATTTGGCATCACTTTGTTGTTCATTTCAATGTGCAGGCAGGAACATGACATGTGAGCTCACTGGCATGGAGCTGCTCAGGAAGCCACAGGATGTCCTCATCAGGACATGTGGTCCTCTTTTCTGCCGTTTGCTTGCCCTTTGGTGACAACGCATGAAACGGATTGGAACAGACCTAAACGTTTCAGACTCACATTTCCCAAGTGCACGCACATTTGTTTGACGTCTTCTGAAACAAGAACAGCCCTCGCAAACCGACAGGTAATTGTTCGTAGGCGGATGCTAGCTTGGACGCGCTGGATTCTTTTTAAAAGCATTTTTGCTCAATGTTCCCCAAACACTGTGGTCACACTAGGGGTTCTTACGGTAAGTATTAAGGCAGGGTGTTCAATCGGTGGTGCTCATCTGGGTGTTTCGGCTAATTCTCTGCTATCTTACGCAACATTCATGCCTCTGCAGATCTTCGAAGTGGAATTTCGACTGCGCAGGCTCACAGAAACTGGTGGTCTAGGGGTGCATTCCTTGACTGTGCTCTCGTTGTGGTGCCGTGCACAGTTTCCGATTTGGTGCTCACTTTTCAATGCAGGCGCAGGGGAAACTGCTTTGGTGATCCAAAGTCGAGTTTTTTCGCAGCAGGCGTACAAGATCGGAGCGGCTTTACTGCGGTGCGCAGATTTCGTGGCAGGCGCAGTGCCTTGGGCATGGCGATGGTCTTCTGCGTGCTCTGATTTCGTGGCAGGTGTGGTGAATCGTGACTGTTGGACATGTGGCTCATTTTCAGAAGTCGGGGACGTCTTGAGCGAAAGCTGCGCTTTGGTATTTTGATGTTGCCTTTGGAAATGCCTCTGGACCTCTGGATCTCTAGACTTCTAAATCTCTAGACCTCTTTGGAACCCAACACGCCTAGATCTATAGACCTTCTCCTCTACACCTCTAGACCTTAGACCTCAAAGGCGGCACTGTTTGGGGTCTCTTGCCGGGATAGTTTCATGAGTTTGATACCTTCACTTCACTTCATGAAATCTTTGTAGGACACAGATTCCCCTTGCATTGAGGTTCGTGATGGCCGTTGCCTGGGGTATCTACCGCCAGCGAACCCAAGAAGATGACGATGTGAAGGAAACCATCCTTAGCCGCTCCACCGGCCAGGCTCTGGGGAGGAGATGGAAGCAGACCGTAACCAAAGATACAGTACATATATATATATATATAGTTTTTTTTTCCGGTTTATTTTGATGCAAAGGCTTTTGAACCAAAGATGGACTATATAATCTCCTCACAAGCAAGGGACACGAGATTCAGTGGGGACTGGTTTTTCCGCAGTCCATTTGGAGGGAGGATAGAACATGGTTGGCACCAAGTCAGCTTTATCGGATGTGCCAATACCCTTCCTTTTTGAAGGGACACCTGCAAAAGCAACTTTTTGAGTGCCTCACAGTGAGAACCTGTGATGGATTGATATGGGACAGGACAGGCAAACCATGGCGCAATCTCCTAAATTCGTGGTCTTTGGCGTATTCTGCATGTTTCGTCACTCACTAGACAGACGATTTCCAACTGTGTCAGAGCTTTGGACATGGACATTGGGTGATTCTGGACTTCCGGGCTTGATGCAGAGCAGGTGGAGATGAGCTCGGAGTCGCTTGTTGGAGGATGCCTCCTTGCGATGCAGGCCTACAGGACTGGTATGTCAGGGTTGCAGTTTGGATCTTCAGTCGCCTTTTGAGATGCCAGATGCTATCGAGTTGGAAATACCGGGGCAATCGACTAAAGGGTGATCCGCTCAAGACAGTCTTGACAAAGGCACCTCATTTCAGATCTCTGAATTTTGCTCCCCAATCGTGCCCATAGATCTTTTTTGACCGTTCATGATATTTAATGATCAGCGTACACTGGTGAGAGATGTTCTTGGATGCGCTTGGCCAGAATGGCCAGACTGGTAGAGCGCATCAGATACCATGTCGAACATGAACGGATGTAACAGCTCTGAGGAGTGGCTTGGAGAAGGAGATTCTGAAGGCTGCTTACAAAGAGCGAGTCCAAATTGAGGGCAATGATCAGCCGTGGTTCAGAGAGTCCTATCACCCAAGCATTACTCTCTTTTCGGTGATGGAGCTTGCCGAAATTGAAGCCCTTTTCTGTTCTCGACCTCCCAGCAGATTTTGCAGCTTTCATGTCCAGGCGTTGAGCTCTGCTGCTGGCGATGCAGGGGCAAATCGATCTCGGGGTCGAAGTTATAGGGCCTCCAGCGCTGCTCGTCTAAGACTGGATTGTGTTAAGCCTTTCTTTGTGCTCTTTGTACTTTGCTCCAAGCCTTGATACTGGACAGAAAGCGAGAGAAACGTATGATCAATGATCAGGTGAATAGACAGAACCACAGAAGTGCCCTTGCCAGGATGTGACCCGGCGCCCCACGGCGCAGCAAATGCGACAGAATTCCAGGGCCTGGAATGTGATGACCAGGCGGCGAAAAATCATCGTTTTTTGAAGTTCAATGACTCACAAGTTTCTTGGTAGCTAAGGACCTGCTACTACAGGGTCAAGACCAAAATTCTTCTACAACTGCAAGTAGGAACCTTCTCACAGCTCTTTCATTCTGCTTGCACTGTCCCTTTGACCCTTCGTTTCTTGGACATTGCATGTAAGACCTATCAGCTGCGACCGAGCAACGGATGCTCTCGACCGGAGCAGTGCTACTGGTAGGCTGCAAGACCTCCCAGAGCTTGAAACCTTCGTGAGCGACTTTGACATCGTGGCACACAAGCGTGGCTCTGCTTCCAATGGGACAGACAGTGCTAATAGGTGAAAACACCAGCTGTTTTACTGGCATTGGGTACATTGGGCACTTGCAGCATTGGGCATTGCAGATGTGCTACATGTTGCACATGTAGCACATCTGTTGCACATTTCACTGGATTCGTGCATTGATCTCAAAGCATCTATCGTATTTATTCGCATTGAGAGACCTGAAACCCTTCCGTGGTGATGGCTCGGCTCCGAGGTCGGGTGGCTGAGGATTTCTTGGATGCACCCTTATCCATTCGAGCTGTACAGATGCCACTTGGGTCTCTCAAAGCCATGATTTGGGCACCATGTTTTCAAAAGGTTCGAAGTACTTATTCATACCTACTCAACGAATGGAGTGTTTGGGCTTTGGGCGTTGCTGAACTTATACTTTGAGGTTCCTGGCAACTCATGAGTGGTTGGCGGTGCAACGCTTCACCCTCTTCACCGAGAAGCATGTCCGTTCCTGGGCGTAAGAACTTGAGAATCCGGCCCTTAGCTATCTCTTCTACAACTTGGGGAAAGAATCAGAAAGAACATCTGTAGACTGTAGATATTCACAGCGCTTCGCGCTCGAAGCCGCCCGCACGGAGTGTGTGCGTCTGTTTGTCTCGGTCTGTCTGCCTGTCTTGTTCGGGCAGGACACACGGAAGAACACACGCACGATGTCAATAGTCTGTCTCGGTCGGTCTGGGTGTCTGTCTGTCTGTCTGCCTGCCTGCCTGCCTGGCTGGCTGGCTGGGTGGCTGGCTGGCTGGCTGGCTGGCTGGCTGGCTGGCTGGTCTGTCTCTGTGTCTGTCGGTCTCTCTGTGTCTGTCTGTCTCTCTGTGTCTGTCTGGGTCTGTCTGTCTGTCTGTCTCTGTCTCTGTCTCTGTGTCAAAAACAACATGCGACTGTTCCCCCCAAAAACGTCAAAAACCGCATGCTCAATACCATTCACCTCATCCAGTCGGACTGGGCACACGACCGAACACATCCACGATATCAATCGTACAGTGTCCCGCGGTTAGCCTAGACGTTTGCGATTTCTGCGATGTCCATAATGCAGTCTCCCGGCCGGCATAGCCGGCATCGCATATCCATAGTGCAGTGTCCCTTGGCTTGCCGAGACATCTGCGATGTCAATAATGCAACTTGTCCCGACCGGCATCGCCGGCATCGCCAACGTTTGTTCCAATTTTGGTCAACTTTCAAAAAACATTGAAAAGCACAGCACTTCTAGGAGAAAAGTGCTAAAGCTTGGGATTTATCTAGCCGGATTCCTTGCGATGTACACGACTACACAACGCCCTTGGCACCTCCGGTGCGGGCGAATTTTTTTGTTGCACTTTTCAGATTAAGACTGATGGACGCTGGACACATCCAGGTGGATGACCTGTTTGCAACGAGGAATCTCCTTCATTTTCTTCAAACTACTCGCTGCCGCCGCGGTGAGCGCGCTAGCTCTGGCGGGTGTCCCCGAACTGCCGGAGGCGGGAGGTGCTTAGAGAAGTTGAGTTTTCTTGTTAGTAGTAATGGCCTCCAACCTACCAGCGATGGCCTCCAACCTAATAGCTTCTAGCTACTAGTAGAGTAGCATGAACTTTTTGCAGCCTACTAAGAAGCGGTGTGTTTGCAGCCTATCATGACGACCGAAGCAAACGGTGATGTGATGGAAATCCCAGGATTGTCCTGAACCGACCACAGCCTTTACCACCGTGCTCAGCTGGCACTGCAGCGGGTGTTGTTTGGGAGGCTTATTAGGATAGAGTATATATATATAGATATTGATACCCTATAAATATTGTAATCCGGACATCATCACAATTGGCAAGACATGACCCTTGGTCAGGCCCCTAGAGCAAGTGGGTCGCAGTCTAGCGAGTCTAGCCTCTTCTGATGATCGGAGGTGTTGCTTGCTTGTCAAACTTGATTCAATCGTGAGCTAAAGATTTGAACTTCCACAATCACAAGGCTTCAGATGATCCTTTGCTGTTTGCACCTACTGCCACTGAGGCACGCTTTTCAATCATTGGTGTTGGTGCTGCCTTCGTGGCAGATATCTTGAGATACTGCTTGGTGCGAGTGAGGAAGCAACACAAAATCATTGGGTGGGTCGCTGGGCTGTTGTGAAGACCAATGTGAGTTTGTCAAGCCAGACCCTTGTCACCTTGTCACCGTGTCACCTTGCCACCTCATGTCACCGATTTTTGTTCGATCGCTGTCTTTGGAACCCAGGCGGTTTGGGCCATTCTGGCCTTGTGGGCGCTGTTCTCGTGTCTCATGTATCTCGCGAGTGATGGAGACCAATGGCTGCAAAGCCTTGGCGCAAGTGCAGTGCAGGACAGCGGTCATCCTTCACCCGTGTTGATCCTTTCTTTTGGTTTTGAATCACCCATGACAACCCACAAGAAGAGTCAACGTGGATTTTGGACGCTTGAACTCAAGCAGCTTTGTGTCGAGTGACCTGTGGCTTCCCAATGAAGCTCGTGGACTTGGAACTTGTTTGGACAGGAGATCCTTCTTGGGCCCCTGGCATATTCAGTGCTTTTAGCGACACGAGCTACCATGGCCTTGAAGAATCCTGAAGTGATGATGGTGGTGGTGCAGAATTGGATCGAAGATGAGGCCCCTCTGCGTTCGAGCACGAAAACAGTGAGCTGCCCTGACAGATTCCCACTCTTGGATCTGCAAAACTCCAATGAAGGTCTGTTGTAAGATGCTTCTAACAAGCCATGATCTCATGATCGCAAGATTGTTGGTTTGTCAGATGCCAGCTGTGCCACTGAGCTGCATTGAAGCCTTGCAGGACGTGGAGGCTCCTGGAGGCTGGGCCATTCTAACCTCGGGGCAGCCTCTGCTTGATCCTCCCCATACCTGTCATATGACAAGGGATCCGAATGATTGTGCAAGAGAGTTAGCACTGCCAAAGATGGGAAGTTTGGAGGCCATTGCTATTAGGTTGGAGGCCATTGCTCTTATATAGGTTATTAACCTTATTCATATAACACATTTAACGAGGCCACCTCGGCCCATGCTTTGAGTCTCCACGGTTGGAAACGGGACTCAAACCGCCCACCATTTTTTGAGTTTTTGAGTATTCCTCGGACTCGCATGACTCTGAGCTGCAACCCCCAGGACCCCCCCCATGATCAGCTTGACAGGCCGGGAACCGGAGGCAGTTCTCCAGATCTTGCCCTCGACTCCAGCACGCCCTTCGCGGAAGGATTCTGGGGGATTCAGCAAAAGATCAAGAAAAGACCATACAGAAAGGCAAGCATAGATGCTTTGCAGCTTTGCAGCTTTTATTCTGTTTGAAGAAGGTGTTTTGAGCATTTCCACGAGCTTTCGGAAGTGAGATGTTCCTTCATGACATGTGTTGCATTCGATTGCAAATCAAAGATGCTGTTAGATGTGTCATCGTGGCTGGCGGTCACATTCCTGTGGCATGGACAGCAGGAAGAGCGGCGCAGAACAGAGCAGCAGCGTGATGCCTTCCAACTTGCTTATGAGACACTTGGAAGGATTTCAAGGCAACTGAAACATTTGAGAGGACCCTTCCCCAAACCTTTTTCCGTATGAGACTTGTCCTGAAAGACATCAGCCTGAGGAGAGCTGTGGAAGATGGCCTCAGCCATAAAGAGGCCACAGTGTTTGCCAAGGAGGCGTGCCGGTTTTCGCGAATCGCGAATGGCAACGCCTCAGTTGAAGTCCAACACCTCATTTTTGAACAGTTTAGGCTTGAGGTCCAGCCAATCAAATCCACACAGATTGTCTCCTTTGCATCAACTGCATGAACTGACCCCTTTGGTTCTGGGTGGTATCAGCAGCTCTCCTACATGAGTGTTCAAATAGGTGCCCCTGACAATTGAAGCAACCGTCCAACAGAATGATGGATCTTCGAAACTGCTCAAGAAAAGATCATGAACTTGTAGGCTTTCCGCTTCGCCCTTTTCGGTTGACTCCAACGGTCCGAGTTCACTGGAGGCCTGCCAACTCCAACAAGAAGGAGAGTCTGGCGCTTCTTTGGACTCGAGGAGGTTGGTCCGCGTGGATACGCTCTAGCCGTGGTTCCGGTTTGACCCCCTCGTTGACCCCCGTTCCGGTTGACCCCGTCCCCGGTTGACCCTGTCCCCTCCCTGTTGGTTGGTGGTCCGTTTTGGCAGGAACAGGATGGCCGAACGAAGAGCTGCTTACCAGCAAGCTTTCAACGCAGCCCTCGAGGCTCGCCTGACAAGCGCTTTTGGGATTCCGTACGAAGACTCTGATGCGCAAGAGTGCACAGTAAAGATGTTGCAAAAATGCACAGTGCTTGTCACAATGTTGACATCTCTGACAGTGCTTCAGCTACGTTTGAGGTGGCAGTGTGTAAAGATGTTGTATTGGCACAGGAAGGAAGAAGCAGGGCAGAAGCCAAAGACATTGCAACAGCTGCCGCTTGACCGACTGGGAAGGTTCCCTTTTCATGGAAGTTAAAGTGCCCGCTTCCAAGCTGAATATCTTCCAATATTTGGATCTCACAGACTCAACGCAATCGAACAACGCTTAGTTTAACAATGCAACTCAAAGTTCATCTCGTTTGCAGTAGAAGGCCAACACAACATCACAAATCACAGCATCTTCCCAGCCTTTCATCACAGATTGCCGGATTCTTGAGGCCTTCCGCTGCGCGGATGTGAACCACTCCAACGTCTCCAGCCACTCGCGCTCCCGTGGCTCCAGCTCTGCGGCCGTGTCCTCCGCCCTGGCCGAGCCGGTGGCGGTCGCCGCGGTCGCCTCGGTGGCGGCTGCCGCGGCGGCGTCGGCGCGGCGGCGGCCGAGTGCTGGGGGGTTCGACCTCATCATGCCCGAGGCTGGAAGTCCTGGAAGCCGCGGAAGTCCCAAGGGCTCTGCAGGTTCTGCCAGCTCTGGCGCTCGAGAAGCGCGCGAAGCGCCCAGCCGCCGGAGGAGCGCGAGGGAAGACAGGGCATTTGTAAGTGTTCGGTGGTGCTGTTGGAGATGGGTTTCTTTACAGAAGTCAGTGGACAGTTGGTCTCACTCAATGCCACACTTCGTGACCTATGCGTGCGTTTCCATGACAACTTTCATAGAGAAGTTCATGAACTCTTCCAGCGTTGCGTCTCCAAAATCAATGTTGCGAAATTGATATATATATATATATCAATTAGATAGATAGATGGATGGATGGATGGATGGATGGATAGATAGATAGATGACAACCTTCTGATATCGATGACAATCTTCTTGAGCTGATGACATCGTAATAACACCCCCGCATTCCCTCCGCCCAATTTTTAATGCTCTGACATTGTTGAAACGACTACAATGTTGTGATGTCAATGACAATCTGACGGGACTGTAAAGAGAAAAGCTCATAGTCCCTCATTTTGATGTGAGTTGCCCTGTGAACCACTCAGCGTCATGAGTTTCTCCAGGAACAAGCAGGCAGATCGGAGCTCCGCTTACCACGAAGCTTACAAGAAAGCAATCCAAGAAGGAAGTGATCAAGAGGAGGCCAAAGAGAAAGCAATCGCAGCCGCTTGTCTAGTCAGTTCGTCACCAAGGTTCTCCGGACTGCTTAACAACAAAGCATTCCAGTGGAATGAAGCTGTCATCGACGGCAGTACAGTAGATGAGCAGCTTTTGAGATTACTGAACTGAACGTACTTTGAGTGGACCATCAACCAGCAGATCTTGAATACCAACAATCAGTGGACAAGAATCTCTGACCATACTTTGGGGTCTTTGATTGTGTTGTGATCGTTGATTCCGAAGTGTGTCAAACCGGTGCTTGCGAAGGACAACAATTGTGCATTTCACTCGGCTCTCGGGTCAAATGTGCGCCCGCTAGGCTGTTTCAGCATTCTTAGAAAGGCTACATATGAAGACAATGATTGGTGTTGCCAGGATTTGGTTGGTGGGTTGCAGGCAACTTGTTCTTGCACCATACAGATGACTCATATTTGACAGTTCCTTTTCCATAGTGCACTTAATCTCTCTCTCTCTCTCTCTCCCCCCTCTCTCTCTCTCTCTCGCTTTCACTGTATATATATATATGTACACATGTATACACAGTGTATGATGTTGTCTTTTTATAGTGGTTGCACCATTCCCAACTTCTAGAATGACAGACTAGTATTTCCATGGGTGATGAGCAATGTTGAAAAGTTAAGTTTCCCAACAAATCTGTAGTCCCGGTAGCCACTCCTTACTTGTTCGTTTCCTTACGCCTCCTCATGGCATTTCCCTAAAAAGAGTAAACACAATGGAACAACAACATGTGACAGGATGATCGCCCTCATGGCATGTCCCTTGGCGATCCATTGGCTGTATGCACTCAGTGCGAACGCTCAAGGCCTTCCATCGGGCGGGATCCGACGAGTTGTCGCTCCCTGTGGATGTGCCCGGACTGGTTGAGGCGACGGGGACTGGGACGGACCGTTGGGGACGAGTGAAGTCAGGTGGACGCCATTTGGAGCTACGACTTCGGTTGGTTCCTTGGGTGTTTTAGAGATTCAGGTCCCCAAAGCCGATGAGGTTGGATCAAAAACATCATGAAAACAACAACTGCCCAAGGCCAGGCCACCCAAGGAAGTTGGATGGGTTGCAGTTGACATCAGTTGATGACTGGTTTATTCTTTGATTTCCTCTCTTGACGCTTCTTTTCTGGGCGCGGCTTGATCATGCCCGCTGGAAGCAGGATAGCTCCTCTGGAGATGCAAAGAAGTGGCTTGATTGCATTCAACCGGTCAAGGCAGTTGGAAAGGAGGAAAAGGATGGGTTGGCATCGACGAGCTCCCGCACCACGGTAGCTCATAGCAGGAGCACGAGCTGCACTGGCCGGTGAGCTTTCCGCTAGGGTAGAGACCATCGCTACTAGTCCAAACGACCTCTGAATTCACTTCTCGGGACGGAACGACCTGTTTGAGATCACCAACGAAGTGGGACCAGTGATTTCATACATGTTTATAAGTGTTTAAATGGTTCTCTTGAGGCAGCCAGATCCGGCCAAGTGCTTCTGGTTTCAGATATTGTTATTTTGAAGCTTGTTTGAGATGAAGCCCACTGACTGATATTTTTCAGGTGAGTTGAAACCACCAACCAGTCTTTCATTCTGCTGAGTTGGTCACCGCACGGGCGCAAACAGGCCTGACCTGGCGCGCAAGGGCGAAATGTATCGGATTGCGTACGAGAAGCTTGGACCCTGAGGGAGAAGTCACTTTGATCTTAAAAAGAAAAGGAACAGTCACATTGATCAAGGTCTTACAGAAAGGGTGTCCACTTTGTGAGAGATCACAACACACGTGGATTTTGTAGCGAGTCCCACAGTGAAGATTACGCATGAGGGGTTCTGTGTCCAGCTAGAACCCACAACACTGTAGACTTGTGCAACGAAAGAACCAGAACAAGTTGCAGTGAAACATCCACACCATGACTTGGTCTAGCATGGGTGGCGAAAGGCTGAATTGGCACTGGTCCTCACAGGCGCTTAGGCATGCAAGACAGCCAGCAAAAGGGGAAGGGGCCTGTACACGCCTACACCGGGGTGCCTGGCACAATACAAGAACCAGAACATCCTGAAAAGTGTTGTTCAAACTTCAAAATTATCTACAGTCTGTCCTGATTTGGGCATGTCCTTGATGGTTCATTTTGGGCAGCTGCAAGGAGAGCTATTGATCGGGGTATGGATCCAGAAGATGCAAAGGACATCGCAAAAGCTGTCACTATGATCTTAATGGCAAGTTTGTGAGGTGGGCACTAAATGTGATCGTATGCTTGGTACACATTGAGGACATGTCAATGTAGTGAAAGTTCAGTGTCCTTTTTCGGCAGTTCTTTTTTGGACATCAGCTGTCAGTGATTGTTGTTCCTGCAGTTGCATTTTCTTGATGAATTGGAACATAGTACCTGCTTGAGACTGGGATAAATAAGGATTATTCGCTTGTAAAGTTTGCTTTGCACAGCTGTCATGCACATACTAGGCATATGCAGCTCCATTTCTTGGTTGGCATAGGGTTGCTGAGATTCCTGGATTAATCCCACACTGAACTCATCTCTGAGATACTGAGGCTTATCACAAAGCTTGAGAACACCCGAAAGCTGTTGAGATCCAATGAAATCCAGCTCCATCTTTTGCGAGAATGTAGAGTTCAAGCGCAGAGCCACTTTTTCAGCATTCCTAGCAGGCTCCTGAAAACTTACTTTGAGCCTCAACAGAGACCACCTCGATTGCCAAAAGACAGTTTTCATCCTAGAGCCAATGATAATGATTTTAGGAGAGAGATGTTGCAGGAAGATAGCACCAGATAGCACTGTTCCTGCAGCTTCGGCCAGTCTGCGTCCGGAGGGGCCATCGTCTGTTCAAAGTTGAATGAGTCGTTTGAAGATGGTTGACCGGAGTTTGGAAATAAGACATTTAAGACATGATGGCTTTGGATGCCAAGTATCCCTCTACAGTAGATGTTTTTTTCTCATGCAGCTCAGTTGTAGCCAAAGGATGCTTGATAGGCTTGGAGCTGGACCATTGCGAGAGCTTCTTGGCATCTCAGCGCAGTTGCGTTGCTGTGCCATTCCATTTTTCCTTCGTCGAAACAATTTGATGCAACGCTTCAGCCACCGTCGTGCTTTGTGTGTGCTTCTCTAAGAAGATATGCATAGCACAATACAAATCAATCCAACATGCAGAGACGTGTACTGCTTCCTTTCAGACCCCAACTTTTGGTGGGGGGAGTTACGGCGGTGGTCTACCTTGTTGGGCAAATCGCACGACCTTGGGACTTCGGACATGATTCTCTGAGTCCTGTAAAGCACATAAGTAGATGCAACTGGGTAGATACTCGCACCTGGATATGATCAATGCAGCCTCCTTGATCTACGGGCACATTCGGTTCTTTCCACTCTACACTCGAATCAATGGCAACCTGTTATATGTACCGTGTCACCGGGGCCTTGCGATTTTCAAGGGTCTATGATGCATTCGGACCATGTCTTCGGGTAACTCGAAGCTATGCCAATTCGCTAGTTTTGATGTTTTTTTGCCAAAGTGCTGGTTCAAGCTTTGGAAGCCGGGGAAGCCAGGATTTTTCTCACGGCAGACTTCAAGTGTCAAGTGTGAAGTAGTTTAGAAGGCTTTCATACGAATTTTCTGTTTTTCTATATTTTTTTGTGTGTGTGTGTGCGTGTGTTATCAATTGCATAATCCTTGGGAAGGATATGATATGGACCTTGCTTGCGTATGGTAAAGGTACATGGTACATGTTGACCTTGACAGGGCAAACAAAGTATTGGATATTGCGCCCCAGCACAACTTGGCGTGTGCCTGTACAGTAACCTTGGTGAGATTGCCTTCTTTGAAAGAAGTCCAGCCTCCTGCTTGCCAGTTCTGTGAAAATGGACGTCCATATATATATATATATATGTCTAGATAAATCTTGTCATGAACCTAAACTTAAAAAGATCCTGCCAAAGACTGATGCTACTTGACATGATGAAACGTATATTCGCAACACTTTGACACTATACCCTAGCATATTGTGCGTGAACGTATGTACATATATAGAAAGATGTGACACCCCTCAATATCCACAGAAGGTTTGAACGCCTGCTGGTGGCCTAGTAGAAACCTCAGATCTCCGCTACCAGTTTGCCCTCCTGAAAGACCTGATGCTTTCGATGATATGATTCATGCGTCGGCAAGGCTTCCACTTTTGCTGCACGCTTGTCGGCTTGTCGTTCGCAGTGCCCCAGCCGCTTGTAGGGCGGTCATGGGGGTTGATTGAAACAAAGTGTTTGTACAAGAGACCAGATGCCTTTCAGGTAGACAATCAACATGGGTATTCAGTCTGGATTTTGCAGATCATGTGGTGGTCAAGCAAAGGGTTTAAAGCGGGTTTCAACGCATGAGGAAGTTGTCAGAGTTCTTGATGCGTTTCAGACTTTAGAAGCTTGCTGTCCCGGCTCGTGCCATGGACGTCTCTACCGCCCGGCCATGTTCTTTGGCCTTCTCAGACTTCTCGTCCCTTTGTCCTTGGCTTTGGCAAGCGAATGGAGGCCTGACATGCAGTTGGCAAGTGGTGCAATTGAAGGAGTCAAAGTGTGCAGTAAATCAGTATATAGGTCCTACAAGACTTTGGGTGAGGATTTTTGTTAGTGGTGTGCCAGAGGAAGTTGTCCAAACAGACGATTGGCCATGGTCCTGCACTGTAGTTGTGAAATGGCTCACGTTAACCAGAGAGAAGCAGTAAAAGAGTCAACTGAAACCTGTTTGCAGAGGCAATTGACCATTCCGGATCCTGATTTCACGAATGTGAGAGGACTGGAACAGTCTGACAATTCCGATTCGTGAAAGGACGGCAGAACTCCATCTTTAAAACTGAACCACGTTTTTTGAGGATTGGAGGCGGTGTACATCACATGGTTTTCTGACAAACCCAACCAACCTCGAGAACTCTTGAGGATGTTTGACATCCGAGTCTTGCAGGTAGTTAGCTTCTGTATTTTGGGTTTGGCAGTGCGAACAAAGCGCAAAAGGTGAGGTTTGGTAGCATTCAAATTAAACATGATGCAGCTGAATTGATATTTGCAGAGAAAACAAAGAGGACTTTGCAGCTTTTGCCTGGAGGACTTGCAGGGGTGACCAGCACGACCAGCAGCACAACCTCCACAAGCACTTCTTCTTCCTCTACTA